TGCCAGTCAGTTACGGTTCTCCTTGAAAGAGGCAGTTGTTTTTACTTTGAAAGGTTATCAGGATCTAAGCATCCTACAACTTTGACAATGCATCCTTTTACAATTTCTGTATCACTGAATGGCTTCCCTTTTTTCCCCTGAGTATATAGGCTACTTTATAAGTTGCTTCAGTGTGCTCTTGCGTTTCATCTTTTAATTTCACAATTTAACTTTTTATACCTCTCCCTTTAATTTAAAATATTTGTGGTCCTTATGAGTGTTATAATGCTGATGAGCATTGAATTTCTTTTTTTTTTTTTAGAGGAAATCTCCATAACACTTTTATTAAATTATTGCAGTATCACAGATTTTCAGTCTAGTCAAAACCATAGTCATCTCTGGATGGGGTTCACCTTAATAAGGAAGAAAAACTTCCACAAATAGACTTATGGAAGCTTCTTCTGGGTCAAATAGCATGATAGGAGAGAGGGCAGGGGGCAGCCTTCCCATACTCTGCCCCATGGAAGTTGTCAGGAGGAGAAAGCCTGATGGGGGTGTTTACTATAGTGTAGGGTCCAGTACAGAGCAACAAAGAGTCTTAACCACAAGTTTTTCTAGCTTCTTCCAACTCTAGTAGTACCATCAAGGGCCATTATTGTTATACAGTCTACTCCTGGGGTAGTTTTCTCCTCAGGAAAGGAGGTCCAGGCCCAATGGGAAGACAAAAATAGTTTACAAAATGTGTGGCCTTGAGGACACATAGTGTCCAATTATCCACTAGAATAAGCTTCCTAGGTTCTTCCAACTAGTAGTACCAACAAGGACCAGGATTTCCATAGTCTTAATGGAGGGAGAGCTAGGGATTTTCATACAAGGAGAAGCCTGGCCTGGCCACTGACAGCTTGCCATTGGGTTAGTTAAGTCAAATCTATCTCCTTTGACAGCTTTTCATATACATGACCCTCAAAATCTGGCATCTCCTAAAGTGACAGGGGTCATGGAATTGACATAAAACTGGTTCCATTCTCCATTGCTCAGGCAATGGAGTCAGGCTTTCTCACATGATGAAGGTTTGAGAAGGGACTTTCAGGATGAGAAACTTGAAACACATTTCCAGTTTGTAGATTCTGCTGATGCCTCAATCGTCTTGGACCTCAAAGTTGTTAACAGCTACAGTTAGTTGCCTGCAGAAGATGATCCTGGTCACCATCAAGATTTCCTCTGATGACTTGGAGGGCTGCTCAGTCAGAACTAGTCAAATGAACTGGCCACAGGTGGCTGCTACTTAGCTAGTCTGTGGGACTCACACAGCAGGCAGGCCATGGAGGCCCTGGGGGCTAGGGGCCAGGGCCTCGAGGGACCACAGTGTGGGGAGGGAGGCCGAGGCAGGCCAGGCCCCAGCCCAGGAGGGCCCAAAGGCACATCGGCCTCCTGTGGCTCCTGGAAAGCTTGTGAGGAGAAAGTGCCACGATGCTGGGAGGAAGTCAGCATTGAGTTTCTTTAATGTTGATATTGCAGTATCACAAAGTAAGCAAATCATGTTATCTTTAGCAGAAACAAGATAACTCCTCATTTAAAAATCTGTTTTCTTCCTACAGCATTCTCTTCTTGGACATGATGGGTTATTAAGCAGATAGAATTAAAAAATACTGTTGAGCTGTGCACAAATTCCACTTCAAATATAAACACAATGCATCATTGTCAAGAGCTGATAAGAGACTGGCATACTCAACCCACACAAACTCTTACCAACCAGCCTCGTGCAGTAGTGGTGCCATTCAGATGGGGGGTATTAGAACTAAATAATGAGTATAGCAGCCATCAATTTAGCCCTTATGGCTTACTAATGTTCTAATTGTGCCAATCAATCTGGAAAGATTGTTTAGTGGAAACTTATTTAATTCTTTAGTATTTTAGATATGTTCATTTTAAAAATAAAATAAAAATATAAAAATGAACAAAAATGTATTAATAAAAATAAAAGGATTTGTTCAGTAAAATTTGGATTCAGTCAGAAGCCCGCATTTAAGGATCTAGAAGGCCATATGTGGCCTTAAGGCTTCAGGTTTTCCATCCCTGTCCTAGACATTCTCTGCTCTCTTCTAGCTCTTCTCTGCTCTTTCTTACTGCTCCTCCTCAGTCTTCTTTCATGTATCTTCATTCAGGTCTTGCCTACTGTAGGTGCCCCCCAAAAGTATGTCCTGTGCCCTCTTCTCTTTTCCCTATTTAGTGATCTTATCAGCTCCCATGCATTTAATTATCTCTATCAGATGATTCCCAGACTATTACATATCCAGCCCTAATCTCTGAGTACTAGTCTTACATTACCATCTGTCTTTTACACATGTCAAACTAGAATGTGCCATAGACATCTCATATTCAATGTGTCCAAAACAAGACTCATTAACTCTCCCCCAAAACCCTCCCTACTTCCTACCTGTCAAAAGTACTGTCAAAGGCACCACCATCCTCCCAATCACCCAGGCTTGCAACTTTGATGTCATCCTCAACTCCTCTCTCATTCCAAACACCCAGTCTGTCACCAAGTCTTGTTGTTTCTACATTCACAAACAACATCTCCCCTGTATATCCCTTTCTTTCCACATACACAGCTGTTGCCCTGTTGCAGGCCCTCATTTTCCTTCATTCCTGGACTATTGCAATAACCTTATAATTGGTCTCCCTGCCTCAATTCTGTCCTCATTCCAGCCATCCTGTATTTAGCTGTCAAAGTGCTTGTCCTAAACTAAAAGTCTGACCACATCACCCTTCCCTTCTTGATGATTTCCAGTGGTTCCTTATCACCTTCAGAATAAAACATAAAATCCTCTGTTTGGTATGTAAAGCTCTTCACAATCTGGCTCCTTTCCATCTAGTTGTCTTATATTTTACTCCCCTCCACACACTCTATGATCCAGCTATACTAGTCTACTTGCTGTTCTTTACACATAATACTCCATCCTCCAATTCCATGCCTTTACACTTCTATCTCCTGTGCCTGAAATTCTGTACCTCCTCATGTCTGACACTCGGCTTCCTTAAGAACTCAGACTAAATCCTACCTTTGGATTACCTTCTATTCACACTGTATATACCACTTATTTTCATGTTATTCTCCCACCACCACCACAATTATAATGTGAGCTCCTTGAGGATAAGGGCCATGTTTTTATCTTTTAATCCCTAGCATTTAGAACAGTGTCTGGCATAGTAAGCACTATAATACAAGTATTTGTTAACTGAATGAATCAAATGATTTTTCATAATCAATACAAACAATAAGCACAGTGAAATCACATATTCCCTACAAATTTCACTCATTTGAATGATTGTAATGATGTGATCTATTATAGAATCACTTTTTACAATTGTGCCACCTCTAGCATAGATACTCGATCTAAAGCAATGTTTTCCCCGTCTATGTTCTCTTTAATGCCATTTCTTCTCTTCTATGAATGTCTCTATAACTATAATGTTAGAGTCAAGTGTGTTGGCTTTACTGTCCTTGATGGTGAAAAGTACACTTTAAAATTTTTGCAAATTGTTTGTACTTTGGCTAAAAAGTGTGAATCATCATGAAAAAGAATAAATTACTGATAAATTTCTACCACACAATATGAGAATGAGATGAGAGATTCTTCAATCTTATAGGTTAAAGGAAACTAATATTCTTTCAAAAATAGTGGAAAATCAGGCAGAAATACTTTAATAGTATAGTATCCTATTATAGTTTCTAGACCTCAGCTTCACTATCTATTCAGTTACTGCTCATGAGCCCCCATTTTCTCCACTGACCCTTCCCCTAGGCCATCCATAATTGGATTGTCATGTGATATCAGAGCAATGGAGTTACCTAAAATAGAATGTCAGATATAGAACCAGATAAGAATTAAGCAAATGTTCTTGCCACGCATTCCCAAATTACAGCCTCCCTAAATTCCAGAAAATGTAGTTTGTGAGTCCTCTTAGTTCTCCTTCCCATGCCATTTTATCAGCTCATCATCACTAGCTAGTAGAATAGGAAATTAGATTTGTGAGTCTATTCTCTCACTATTCCTTATGCTACTATATCATGATGCCATAAAAACATAGGGGACAGTAAGGAGTCATTAGCAATTTTCCCAGAAATAAAACCCAGTAACCTTGAGGTCTGAAAGGCACTTTATCTCAGTACTATATTGTAAATATATTGACAATTTGCAACAACAACCTGTCACATTGGGAATTGTAACTGGAAAGATATCTGCATCTATTGTTTCTCAGAATATGATACCTCTTTGAAGTAGCAAAATTCAGATGTAACTGTATAAGAGTTTTCTGACTCCATATCCATTTTCCTTACTTTTCATGTCTTGATTGTATCTTCCTGCATCTCATTAATCTCATGAGATTTTCCAATCAGCCTTTCACTGCTCAGTGCAAACATTCCCCTCCACCCAGAGTCTATGCTACTGTAATATTATCACCTGCAGAACTCCAGTTTGTGGAAGATAAAGTCCCTCAACTTGCTGTCAGTTCTATAGGGGTGCCATGTTCTCTCCTTGAAAACCAGATCTCTAGAATCCTGGGTAAAGCACAGCAAGTGAAAATGCTACCCAGTATGGACACTAGTGGGAGAGAGTAGACCCACAAACCTGCTTTTCTAACATTCCCAGTAGGAGACTGATTCAGTGTTGTGAAAGCAGAGCTGAGAAGACTGAAACCTATCTTTCTCTAGAAAGTCTGACAGGTTGTAGTTTGGGAAATGGGTGGTAAGAATGATCACTGCTTGATTCTTATGGCTTGTTAATACCTCTACATCCTGTTTTAAGTAAATGTGCTCTTGTATTACTATGATATCATAGTATTAATTCTGACTAATTGGTAAGAATCAGTGAGAAAAAATAGAGCCTTTGGTGAACCCAAACTGATTCCAGGAACCTGAACAAGGCAGTGGGGTGCCATATTCATAAGTCAAAAGAATGACATGTAAATACATTCATTGTTTTTTTTTCTGTTTTTTCTTTAAACAGGCCAAGAAACGGGAAGAGATTCTTCATCTGTTAAGAAAACAAAGAGAAGAGAGAATAGAGGTGAGACTGATACTGAGAAATGTACGTGAGCTTCCCTGGAGGGACAGAGTATAGTAAATGTTTTGTAATATGTGGACACTATGTTTATTCAGTCCACATTTTTTTAAATAGGCAAAATTCAGTCAGCATATCATGAGCAATGACTAGAAGAAAAATCTACTTCACTTATGTCTAAGTCAAATCATTTTTTTTTCAGAAAGAACTGGTTTCCCTTCTTCATAAGCCAAAGGTCAAGATACCTCAAACAAAGTAAGTTTAAACCTTTCAAAATAATTTCTCCCATTTCTAGTTCCCTAGTTAAGGAGTGGAAAGAGAACATTTGACTTTGAATCAGAAGACCAGTGTTCAAGCATCAGCTCTGGCATTTATTATTTATGTGCCCTGAAGTATTTGAACCATCTAACTTTTCTGAGCTTCAGTTTCCTCATCTTTAGAATGGGGATAATATTTGCACTGCCTGCCTTTGAGAATTATAGGGAATGTGCTTTAAATAAAACAGTATAAAGTACTTAAAGTACTATGTAAATGTGAATTACTATTAGTAATTATTTAGTCAGAAGCTATTTTTTTTTATATTCTGTCCTGCTGGGACTCCATTGCAGGGACTTAAAAGGAAGGTTTTGCAGAAGATTAGATAATCTAGTCAATGGTCAGTTGAAACAATTGGATAAGAATAGGGAATGCACCTGTAATTTCATTGGTAAAGGGAACTCCCATATGAAGAATGCACATTTGGCACTTTCTCGAAACCAGTAGCCTTAGAGAGTTGCCTAGAACATGATATTAAACTAAGATAGAAAAAGGGCCACAAAACTGTACATCAGAATTCCTGCTTACTGTATATTGACTTAGAAAACCATATATTATTAATATTATCTATGTTCCATTGTCTTTTTATTTTGTTAAATTATTTCCCAATTACATTTTAATCTGGTTCTGACCTCACAGGCCCCATGTTTGACACCTTTGGCCCATAGCACTAAGAAGTTAAAGGTGTCCAGGGTCATATAATGGCCTTCCTAGCTTCAAGGGTGACTGTAGAATAGATAAATTCTTTGATTTGGTGCATTAAAGAGATCACATAGATTAACTAGATATACCAAACAGAGCACCAGAGGGAAGACAGGAGCAACAAGGAAAGAACACTAGAGCAATAGCTACCCCTAAAACTGGGGCAACAATTGACACCCCCCCCAAATTAGGGCAGCACCCACACCCAAACTAGCAGCGGGTAATACTTCCATAATGTGACTGAGAAGTACAGTGGAAACAGACCTCTTGTAGTTGAAGGACCTGGGTTCGAATTCTGCTTCAGATACTTTCTACCTATGTGATCCTAGGGCAAGTCACTTAACCTACCTAGATATCAATTTTCTTATCTATAATATGAGAGGGTTAGACTAAATGGCCTCTGAGCTTCTTAATCTTTAATACCTTCTACCTCTTGAACTTAATACCTTCTAAAACAAGTATCTTATTTACTTCATATTCAAAAAGCATCAATGTACTGATCACTGAGATCAGTTTAAGAGACTAAACAGATGTGTGTAATTTGAAGAAAATCTATCATTGCTTCATTCTCTTGAAGACTATTTTTGTGTCATGAGCCTAGTTCCTCTAACAAAAATACAAGACCTATGGAATTGAAAGAAACACTATTAAAATCCAGCCCTAGCCCCACAACTTTCTAATAAGGCTTGCCCCCTTTTGGCTCTCTATACAAGGCACAAATAACCTTTCTGTATGGTGAGGTAGATGAGTTTCCAGTATTCTCCAGGATTCGCTGAAAGAACATTCACAAACTTAACAATGTTACCTTGCATAAAGTTATCAAACCAGACCTATCCTGTGTTCTTATACCTTCAAGAATTGTGCAGAATGCGTTCCTGTCAGAATGTGCTTTTAAGCATTTGAAAAGAAGGTAGAAATAATGACTAATGTTTATATATGTTTTAAGGTTTGCAAAGTCTTTTGAAAAATACACTATTTCATTTGATCCTCACAACAAACTTATGAGATAAGAGCCACTTATTATTTGTTATTTATTTATTATCCCCATTTTACAGATGAGGAAACTGAGGCTGAAAGGTTAAATGACTTGCCCAGGGTCACAAAGCTAGTAAGTAGTTAGTCAGAAAGATTTGAATCTATTTCTTCCCAGACTCCAGGTCTAGTACTCAACTACTAGCAGACTGACTAATTGAAGAGCCAGCTGAACAAGAACCCAGATTTATTTAGCACTAGTTTTTTAAAGCACTTTCCTCATAAGTACCCTTGAGGTAAGTGAGTATTATCCCCATTTACAAATGGATTACAAATGGTTTACTGAACCCTATGGCAAATGGTTTTACCAGAGAAGAGAAGAAACGAAAGCTAGCAATGTCATTACTTGGGCTCTAAGGAGATTTCATGAAACAATTTCCTTAAGCCAGAGAAGGTGACTTCATAATTGATGTAAGTGCTCTTTTCCATTGTGAGGAAGTATTTGTTAAAAAATAAAATAAAACAAAATAAACAGGAACCCTACAAACATCCCAGAGGGTGGAGAGGAAGAATAGTTTGATTTACAGTGTTAATAGAAACTCTATCTTTTCATCAATTAGAAAATCTGAGCATTTGAGATGGCTTTGTAAACTTTGAAAAAATAAGGACCAAGGTTATATATTGGTTTATAGAGAACAGACTATAGAACTAATATTAATCAGTGATCCCCATTCATGACACATATCCTACAAAAGAGGCTATCTCATTCATTAATCACCACTCAGCTTTTGTTCCCATCAGGTAACCAGAAGTATGAACATTTAGGGTTTGGGGTTTTTTTGTGATTAATAATATCCTGTCATTGTGTTTTAACTTGCACGTCACAGAGCCTGAGCCCTCAAAGACACACAGTCTTAGCTTATCGTTTTTGTTACAACAAAATTAATTGATGCTGAGTTTACTCACAGCCTGAGTCTTTGGCTAGCCTTACCCAAGTTGTAGTCCTTACCTATTTGGTATCTTTTGAGGACTTTCCCTAACCAAAAACAAACAACAAAATCTCATTCAAGTATCCACAGTTAATGACCCAATCACATGAGTTAAGCATGATGACTTGTGGTTACTGGGAACACTCTGATGGGGATGCAGACACCAGAAAAAGCCCAGAGATGATCTGAGAAAGAGTGAGGGGGAAGGAAGGGCATGGGAGGAAGGGGGAAGTTAAATCCAGCCTTGTGTGTCACAGAAAGGAAATTATTCTAAACTCTCCCAAGATTTCTGCATACATGCTGTGTTGACTACAATTCCTTTAAAAGTAAAGGGTCCTTCATTCCATAATTAGAGATAAAGCTTCAAATGTATATCTTCTTGGGGCTAGTATGGTTCTTTAGGTAATATTCATCCCTTAAATTTACACTTGCAATTCACATCAAATCCTTTCCTGGAATCAGGTTTTTATAAAGTTTTAGAATGTACAGAGGCACTAGAAGCCTGAAAAGGGGGAAAAGGGGGTGGGCAGAGAAGGGAGAAGAAATGGAGTTGGAGAAGAGGACTTCAAGAGCAAAGAAAAGGGCAATAGGTTTGAGAATAACTCATTTTTATAGTGTCTTCTCATTTACACAGTACTTCTTTACCACAGTCCTCTGACACAGGTGGACCAAGTATTACTCCATTTTGCAGGTAAATTAAGGTTCAACAGGTGTGTCTTTAGATTCAACAGGATGCATTAGAGCTAGGATTGGGCTTCAGGTCTTCTAATTCTATGTCTAGCACTGCAGCTGGGTGGCAGAGTTGGTAGAGTACTGGAAGTCAGCAAGACTTGAGTTCAGATCTGACCTCAGACACATTGGCTGTGTGACTCTGGCCAAGTCACTCTTTTGTTTGCTTCAGTTTCCTCATCTGTATGATGGGGATAATAATAGCATCTACCTACCAAGGTTGTTGTGAGGATCAAATAATTGTAAAGTGCTTAGCATAGTGCCTGATCCATAGTGAGCGCTAAATAGACGTTAGCTTCTAGCTATTATTATTAGTTATCTAACATTCTTCCCATTATTACCTGCAGAGACAGGAGACCTGTGATCTTGAGTAAGCTAATTACTTCATCTCACTTGACCTTCACCTCCTCATTTGTAAAGTGGGGTTGGACTAGTCAGTCTCTAAGCTCCCTTTGAGTTCTGTTATTTTGAAGCTCTATGCCATATTCTTCCTTAGGGCCGGCCCTGACTGTTGTCTACAAGTAATTGAGTGGATCATTTTTTTGACATTTGTCATAACTTCACACATCTCTAACCTTGGCAGAAGAATGAACAAGATAAGGGTGATTGTATCTATGCCAGACATCCTTATAGAAAATGAAAAATTCAGTTAATCATCCAGATATTTCATGGACAAAATTTAATTTTCATTTTTCACCCAGATGGCATGACATAGTCTGGGGATAGTCTATACCTCTTATCTAAAAGGACTGTATCTTTCTTCCCCCACCTAGGGGATATGGTGATTTTTCAAGAAGCTTCAGCAGAATCCCTACAGAGAGACTGAAGCAGATTGCTAAGTGACCTTAGGCAAGTTGCCTCAGTTTCCTCATTTGTAAAATGAAGGGGTTGAACTTGGCTCTAAAATCCCTTTTAATTCTAAAATTCTGTGATTCTATGCACTATATACTCCTGTGGCTAAAACTAGCCCAGCTAAAAGATTCTTTGGGTCTGATGCATGATAATTGCTTCTGGAATAGCAGCAACTGGGTTCCTTAAACCGTGCAGGGCTAAATCAGATCTTCCCTTTGGACCAGTTGTGTTGCTATAAGTATGGTCACCTAAAAATAAACCACATTCTTTCCTAGCTTGGACATTTTCTTAGCCAGTTGAATCCTTAAATTAACTCTTTTTGAATATGGACATATATTCTTTCCCTCCTGTTGAATAAAGCCACTTCATCCCATAGTGAATGATCTCTCCTTTCTCTGTATTCCTAAAGTGCTTCTTGTCTAGAGCATTCACTTGGCAATCAGTTCTAGAATTCTGGAATGATAAAACTGGAAGGAATATCACTTTTTAAATTATCTAGCCTTAATCTCTCAATTTATGGATAAGAAGAATTAGGTCCTGAGATAAGGGATTTGCCAAAGGTCACACAGCTAGATGACAGAGTGCTGAGCCTAGAGTCGGGAAAACCAGAATTCAGACATTTCCTAGCCATGTGATCCTGGTCAAATCACTTAACCTCTGTCTGTCTCAATTTCTTCAACTGTAAAACAGATATCATAATAGCACCTATCTTATACTATCATTATAAAGATAGAATGAGATAATATTTGAAAGTTCTTAGCACCATGCCTGGCACATAGTAGGCACTTAATAAATGCTTATGCCACCAATCTTAGACTCAAAGCATTTTCATCTTGGTAAGACCTGCCAGAGGCTGCACTCTGTTGGCATGGCCTCCATAAAATGATGAGACTTCAAAATGAGAATGAAATGAAAAATAAAGGAAGCATCAAAATTGAAAAAATAATTGTTCTGGTAATTGAGGTTGTTTTATCAGTACATTAGATCCAGTACAGATGGAATAGAAAAACCAGCATCAAGACAGTCCTAAACATGAAAGTTGGTCCTTGAATTCTCCATTTTGGGACAAGTATAGATATTGCCTCTGAAAGACAAAGAAGTTTGAGGTTTTTTTCATTTATATATGATTGATTTATTAGTGCATGCTTGGTGTGTACTTTTTAATTATAAATGATCTACATCCCCCCAAATACATAAATAAATGCTTCTAACATTTCCCTGTCCAGTGCTTTTTCCACTCTATCACTAAATATCAGCTATGATCTTATGACATTTATATATTGTTATCTTGAACTCATTAATCTCCTGAATTGTTATTTAGCTTTTCACATGTTTATATTTGTCTCTCCCAACTGGGTTATAAATTCCTTTGGGGCAGCGCTATGTCGAGCACTTCTTTCTATTACTCACAGTGCCTAGAATAGATTTTGTTGTTTTTGTTGTTCAGTCATTCAGTTGTGTTCTATTCTTCGAGACCCCATGGGCCATAGCACACCAGACCCTTCTGTCCTCCAGTCTTCTAAAGTCTGTCCAAGCTCAGGTTTGTTTCTTCCATGATGCTATCTATCCATCTCATCTTCTGCCATCTCCTTTTTCTTTGGCCTTCAATCTTTCCCACCATCAGAGTCTTTTCCAATGAGTCTTGTCTTCTCATTATGTGGCCAAAGTATTTTAAGTTTCAGCTTCAGTATTTGACCTTCCAATGAATGATCTGAATTAATTTCTTTAAATAGTGACTGATTTGATCTCCTAGTTGTCCAAGGGACTCTCACAAGTTTTCTCCAGCACCACAATTAGAAAGTCCTGATTCTGTGGCACTCAGCTTTCCGTATAGTCCAACTCTCACAGCCATACATTGCTAATGGAAAAACCATAGCTTTGACTATATAGTCTTTGGTTGGCAAGATGATATCTCTGCTTTTTAGTATGCTGTCCAGATTTGCCATAGCTTTCCTTCCAACAAGTAAGAGTCTTTTAATTTCATAGCTGCAATCACTATCTGCAGTGATCTTTGAGTCCAGAATATAAAAAGAATATAAAATCTAACACTGCTTCCATTTCTTCTCCCCCTATTTGCCAGATGTGATGGGACCATTGCCAAGATCTTAGTTTTTTTGATGTTAAGTTTCAAGCCAACTTTTACCCTCTCTTCTTTCACCCTCAGCAAGAGGCTTCTTAATTCCTCTTCACTTTCTGCCATCAGAGTATATTATCTACATATCTGAGATTATTGCTATTTCTCCTGGTAACCCTAATTCTGGCTTTTGATTCATCAAGCCTGGCATTTCGCATGATGCACTCTACATATAGATTAGTACTCCTTTTCTAATCTCAAACTAATCAGTTGTTCCATGTTTGGTTCTAATTGTTGCTGCTTGGTCTGCATACAAGTCTCCTCAGGAGATAAGTTAGATGATCTGATACTCCTATCTCTTTGAGGACTTAGCACATTTTGTTATGATCTACACAGTCAATGGCCTTAGTGTAATCAATGAAGCAGAAGATGTTTGGTTTGGGTTTTTTTCTGGAATTCTCTTTCTTTTTCTATAATCCAGTGAATGTTGGCAATTTGGTCTCTATTACCTCTGCCTTTTGAAAACCAGCCTGTTCTCTTGACAATTTTTGGTTCGCATATTGCTGAAGCCTAGCTTGCAGGATCTTAAGCATAACCTTGACGGCATGTGAAATGAGTGCAATTGTTCAGTAATTTGTAAATTCTTTGGCATTGCCCTTCTTTAGGATTGGGACCAAAACTGGTCTTTTCCAATCCAGTAGCCATTGTTGAGTTTTTCAAATTTGCTCCCATATTGAGCATAGCACTTTAACGACATCATCTTTTAGGATTTTAAATGACTCAGCTGGAATTCTGTCACCTCTTACTGTCACCGCCTACTTGGCATACTTCTTAAGTCCTGCTTGACTTCATTCTCTAGGATGTCTGGCTCTAAATCAGTAACCTCACCATTGTGGCTATTAGTGATGTTAATATCTTTCCTGTAGAGTTTTTTTATGTATTCTTGTCACCTCTTCTTAATCTCTTCTGTCTCTGTGAAGTCCCTACCATTTTTGTCTTTTATCATGCCAATTTTTACATAAAACATTCCCTTGGTATATCTCTAATTTTCTTGAAAAAATCTCTTGTCTTTCCTATTCTATTATTTTATTCTAGTTCTTTACATTGATCATTTAGGAAAACATCCTAATCTCTCCTTGCTTTTCTCTGGAATTCTGGATTCAGGTGGATATATCTTTCCCTTTTTGTTTCAATTTCTTTCTTTCCTCGGCTATTTGTAAAGCCTCCCTCATCCAACAGCCATTTTGCTCTCTTGCTCTTCTTTTTCTTTGGAGTGTTTTTTGTTGCTGCCTCTTGTATAATACTATGAACCTCTATCCATAGCTCTCCAGGCACTCCATCTATCAGATCTAATCCTTTAAATCTATTCATCACTTCAACTTCCTGTTCATAAAGGGATATTCTTTAAGTCACACCTATGTAGCCTGATGGTTTTCCCTCTTTTCTTCAATTTAAGTCTGAATTTTGCAAGAAGCTCTTGACCTGAGCTCAATCAGCTCCAAGTGTTGTTTTTGATATAGAGCCTTTCCACATTTGGCCACAAAGTATATAATCAATCTGATTTCTGTATTGTCTATTTGGTGATGTCCATGTGTAGAGTCACCTTTTGGGTTGTTGAAAAAGAATGTTTGCTATGATCAGCAAGTTATTTTGACAGAACTCTGTTAGTTTCTACCCTGTTTTATTTTGTGCTCCAAAGCCAAACTTGCCTGTTATTCCAATTATCTTTTGATTTCCTATTTTAGCATTCCAATACTACATAATGAATGTGATATTTTTGGTGTTATTTCTAGATTTTGTAGGTCTTCATAGAATTGATTAACTTTGATCTCTTCAGCATTGGTAATTGGACCAAAGATTTGTATTGCTGTGATACTGAATGGTTTATATTGCATTCAAACAGATATCATTGTCATTTTTGAGGTTATATGCCCTTATACTGCTTTTCTCACCCTTTTATTAACTATGAAGGCTAAAGGAATCTTGCCCATAGTAGCATACGTAATGATCACCTGAATTAAATTCACTCATTCCTATCTATTTGAGTTATTGACCTTGGAGATATCAACGTTCAATCTTTTTACCTCCCTTTGACCACGTCCTGCTTACTTTGGTTCATGGGTCTTTCATCCCGGGCTCCTATGCATCAGACTTTCCAGACACATCTGCGGCTGAACTTCCTTTCAGCTTTGGCCTGGCAACTTCCTTTTTTAGAGCTACTTGTAGTTTTCCTCCATTCTTCCCTAGTAGCATGTTGGATACCTTCCAACCTGAGGGATTCATCTTCTACTATCGTATCTGTTGTCATTTTAGTACTGTCCATGGGATTTTCTTGGCAAAGATACTGGAGTGGTTTGCCACTTCCTTCTCCAGCTCATTTTACAAATGAGGAACTGAGGCAAATAGGGTTAGATGAATTGCCCAGAGTCACACAGCTAGGAAGTGTCCGAGGCCCATTTTTAACTCATGAAGATGAGTCTTCCTGATTCCAACCTCAGTGCTCTATCCACTGTGCCACCTAGCTGCCCCTAGTAATTTTTACTAATTGTGGCAGAAATTGGACCAGAGAACACCCTATGTCGCATGCATATGTTTGTTATACTTTTAAAAGAATCTCCATAAAAGTATAAGAGCCACATATGGTTTTTCTAAAATTTTATTAGTTTCTAATAATAATAACAGCTTTTAGCATTTATATAGTATCTATTATGTGCCAGGTACTGTGCTAAACTCTTACAAATATTACCTCATTTTTTTCTTCACAATAACCATATGAGATAGATACAATTATTATCTTTATTTTACAGTAAAGGAAACTGAGAAAGACAGAGGTGAAGTGACTTGCCCAATGTCATACAGCTAGAAGTGTCTGAGGAGGGATTTGAACTCAGGTCTTCTTGACTCCAGGCCTAGCATTTTATCCACTGTACTACCTAACTGCCAAATAAAAGATGAATATAATTAAGTGGGTCTCCCCTCACTAGGGGTCTTTAAGAAAAAGGTATATAAACACTTGTTAGGCATGTGGTGAAGGGAATTCTTGGTCAAACAAGCATTGTACTAGATTGTCTCTGAGGTTCCTTCCACTTCCAACATTCATTTTATGGAACTATCTTTAAGTAGGGTCAGCCCTGGAAATAATTGTGGCTTAGTCAACTGCCTCTCTCTATGACCCTGCCTGGTTCAGGTCATTCATTCTAGGGAAAGGTACCTGACAAACTTTTCCCCACCAAGGTTTCAGCAATTTAACATTTAATTCTTCCTAAGAATGTTTGCCTTTTAAAAGTATAGAGGAGTTTGCTTATTATAAAGGAATTAATGGTGGAATTTCAGGCACTGTGATACCTGTGTGGGGATGGTATTTTGGGCATAGGGGAGTCTTCCCATGTTACTCAAATACTACCACATAGACTTATACCATATATGCATAAAGCTGCCCTTTGTTATAATATTTAATATGCAGAAACACAAAGTCTGTACTTGTTTCCTGGGGAGATTTCCAAAAGATCATTTCATGATGTAGAGTGCGTATTCAAAACTACAGCTTTGTTTACTGGAATTGACTTATTACCTCCAACAGGAAAGTACTCACGAAATCAGAAAGAAAGGACCAAGAAGAAGTGAAGGCCTTGGGTCAGCTTGATTGATGGTGAGGGAAAGTAATTTTGCTCTGCCACACCAGAGCACCTCTTTATCAGGTTCTTTTTTTGTTGTTCTAGGCTAAAATGTCAATGAAATAAATTTACAGACAAACTTTCAAGAGAATTTGATGAGTTATGTGTACTTATTGTATCTCTCATGCCATTTGGTCACTGCTACACTTCATAATATCTGTTCAGTTCTCTCACTTCACACTTTCTTCTCCTCTTGTTTACATTTTTGTGTTTCTTTTTGAAGTTCTTTATCAGAACTGCAGGATTTGACCACATTAGGTGTGTCAAAGGCACCGGAAACAGGTGCGGTGAGTATGCCAACTCGGGAGCCATTAGGAAAAACAGACAAGAAGGAAATGGGGGGAGGCTCCAAAATGCAGCCTCAGCACTACAAGTTTGAAGCCAAAGTTTCACTCTTTGTTTTGCATTACCTTTCCCCAAGATTGGCCTGTCCAGTTTTTTTGGAGGAAATCTGGAGTCTCTTTCAGAAAGCAGGCCACTACCAGATCTTTGAATACCCAAATCACCATGCCAGTGGCTTGAAATTCATACACATAAACCCCAGATATGCTAAATATTTCTGAAAATTTACCATTGAAGCCAATTTTACCAAAAAAAAAGTTGCTTTGTGGTATTTTGTTTTATTTTGTTTTTTTAGTTTGTCATTAGAATTAAAATGTTTTTTCATCATTGACACTTTTAAATTCCCATACTCAGGCCTGGTTGTCCAGGTTAAAGGGTGGAGCATTCACCACAAACCCACCCCACTTCCCCCGCAACCCCACTCAAGCTTTGAATCAACTGCAAGGTTGTGGGTATTACAGATGGAACTCAGGAACCTATAATCAGGCAACAGGTCCAGTTAACAGATGCTGTGGTGTCAGAAATGTCTCAGAAATTCTTTAACAACTAAGCTTACCAGGAATTTGTAGAAACTAATGGAATTTTATTAAATTTAAGTTAACTTGACATATTGGTCACTTCTTAGTAACTGTTATTCCTGTTCTCAGCAACACTCAGCAGCCAGACAAACAAAAGATATCCTCTGTTCCTTCCAGGCTGGAGTAGATCAAGGGCTGGCAACATCTCTCCCTTATTCTCAGATGATGCTTTGAACAGGAGCTAAACTGATCTCTACTCAGCAGCAGTCATTTCAGAAACATTGACAAAAAGGGCAGATGTGGTGAAGGTTCAGCTACCATATGTCCAATATAGGTCAATCTGAATTTTGGGGAAGATATGTTTATTTCTGTAGGCAACTAGGTAGTTCAGTGGATAAAACTCTGGCCCTGAAGTCAGGAACACAAGTTCAAATCCAGCCTCAGACACTTGCTAGCTGTGTGACCCTGGGCAAGTCACTTAACCCTGTTTGCCTCAGTTTCCTCATTTGTAAAATGAGCTGGAGAAGGAAATGGCAAACCACTCCAGTGTCTCTGCCAAGCAAACCCAAAATGGAGTCAGGAAGAGTTGGATACTACTGAACAACAACATCGTGTTTATTTCTAAATGTCCTATAAATACATTATAAATACAATAAATATATTGTAACCCCTGAGATACCTCCATAACACATGTGAGCCTCTCAGAAAAACTACCCTAGATTCAAGGTGTTGTATGGTCTACATCCACTCAAAACCATAGTTCACAGGCCCCCATCAAAATGCTAAATTTTATTGGTCGGTCAAAGGAAAAAGTTACTTCAAAGCTCAGACATTTAATGAAATAATATAAGAAAAGTAGAGTGTGTTCTTCCATAGTTACATACATTATCGATGGAAAAAACAGAAAGTCTTTGGCCCAAGCTTTGTTTTGCAAAGTGCTCCTGAGGGAGCACTTCCATAGACCTTCCCTTCAGGTGAGGCAATAAGGTTTGAAGATGGATAATGGCAGTGGAATTAAAAGAGACAATTGCTTTACTGAGGCTTTACAAAGGACTTCTGTTACTCCCCTATGACAGAGAAGGAGATAGGGCATAATCCATTGGTAGCCTTAATGAGTGGTTAGGATTCCCCTTCCCAGCTGAGCTGTCTGCAGTATTAGCTGGTAGCTAATGGAAGTAAGAGAGGAGAGAGAACGAACCTGGCCAAGTTTTATCACTGATGCCTGTAAACTACTATTAGGAGATTTTCCCACAAAAGATCACTCTTGGGATTTGTGGCCTTTCCCCTTTCACTTTAAATAAAATATTTCTGAGCCAAGTGCTCAAGAAATAGAAAGTGCTCAGAAATACATATAAGTAAAGATGTAGTTCCTGCCCTCAAAGAGCACATAATATAGTCTACAAAGGAAGACAAAATAGGATGTTCTCATTAATTGGATTTAGGGGTAGGAGAGAAGGGGGGAAAAGGTGATTCTAAAATTTGGAGCCTGAATGATTAAAGAGATTAATGGTATCTATCTTAGGCAAGTCATTTTATCTAAATGAGCCTCAGTTTCCTCTTCTGCAATGAGGGATTAGGCAGTCAATAAACATTATGTTCCAAAGGAGGCAGGTAGGTGACTCAGTGGATAAACCCCTGGGCTTGCAGTCAGGAAGATGAGTTCAAATTCAGCTTCAGACACTTACTAGCTGTGTGACCCTGGGCAAGTCACTTAACCTCTGTTTGCCTTAATCCACTGAAGAAGGAAATGGCAAACCACTCCAGTATCCTTACCAAGAAAACCCCCTGGACAATATTGGAGTACTATGGTCCACAGGATCGCAGAGAGTTGAAAGTGACTGAACAACAACCAAACATGTGCCAGGAACTTTGATGAGCACTGAGGAATACAGATACAAAAGCAGAGTTCCTGCCCTCAAGAAGCTTACAATCTTATGGAGAGGGTGAAGTCCAAAGGAATGCAGCCAAGTGGCAAATGATCTCTGAGAATCCAGTTCCAACTGTGACAAATAGCAGCAGAAATAAGAGAATGGGAAAGATGAAGTGGTCTGGGTGGGGAGATGATGAGTTGATAAGAGTTCCATAGCTGAGTGAGGAGGGGGAATATAGGTAGGTCACTATCATAAATTAGCCTTGGGCATGTTTAGGCCAGCCTGACTGAAGTTGGTCTGGTAGTTCAGGTTCAAGATTATAACAAAATGAGATACTCAATAGACCATGTAGACAGGGGTGGGGAACCTGTGGTCTCAAGGCTACAAGGGGCCTTCTAGGTCCTTGGGTGAGGCCTTTTGACTGAGTTCAAGTTTTACAGAACAAATCCTTTTATTAAGGATTAAATCAAAGGGCAACACTTGAGAACCTAGAAGGCCGCAGGTCCCCCACCCCTGAATAACAAAAGAAGGTTAATTTACCCATTGTGCCTGGCACATAGTAGGTACTTATTGTTTATTGATTGATTGAAAAGGATATCAGCAAAGATACAGCACTGGTCCAGGGAGGTACTTCTTTACCCTCTCCCCAAGCTCTTCATTTTTATACTGAAAAGAGTTAGGTCTGGAAGGGGTGGTCAACAAGGTATGGCAACTCATGTGCTGGGGGACATCTGCCAAGGACTGATTGCTTATGCATGGTCTGACCTTTGGTTTGACCCTTAGGTGGCTGGGAAGCTGCATCAGTGGCTCAGGCCCTCGCTACCTAGACAAATCAAATCTTGAGGACAGCTTCCTTACCTTTTAGGGAGAAAAAGGTATTTTGGCCTATAATCTGACAACTTGGTAGATATTATTCCTACCACAGGATAACTTGTTGCTGTAAGAAAAACTTTCAGATATTTTGTGCTTCTCCTTTCCCTGACCATTTCTTGCTCACACACTTCCTCACCCCTAACTTGGGGTTTGGACCTTTTTGTACTCAGACTTGGTTTATAACTTTTAAAAAATTTTTCTTATTGATTATATACTTGATGACCATGAACAGGAACAAATATTTCAACAAAAAAGGATTGTGAAATCATAAATTTATCACAAATTGCTTTTAAATATATATTAAATTTAACAAGTAACAAAACTGTCTTCTTTGTGTTCCCCTCTGATCTGCTTTATTTCTTCTGTGAATTTAAAAATTATTTTATTGATGCTTTTTTTGCATTTCTATAAATATCCACTAATACATCTCCTACCTACCATATGAGCCCTGTCTTATAACCAAAAAGTATAGCTAAGCAAAACACAGCAATTGTGTCTGAAAACATGCTACATTCTGCACCATTGTCCATCATCTTTCTGCCAAGAGGTAGAAAGCAAATTAGATCATCAGTTTTCTGAAGTCATAATTGGCCAATGTGTTGATGAGAATTCTGTAGTCTTTCAAAGTTGTTTTCCTTTTCATTATTGTGCTCATGATGTAAATTGTTATGGTTTTACTCATTTCACTGAATCAGTTCATAAAAACTCTCTAAGTTTCTCTGAATCTTTTGTATCCATAAATCTTACATCACAAATAGTTCAGCCATTTCCCAGTCAACAAGAATCTGCATTGTTTCCAGTTCTTTGCTTCAGTAAAAAGTATTACCATAAATATTTTATACATATGAATCCTTTCTTTCTCTTTGTCTTTGACCTATTGGGGGTATATACCTAGTAGTGTTATCGATGGTTCAAAAGATATGAATAATTTATTGATTTTGGGGGTATAGTTCCAAATTGCTTTCCAGAATTAGTTAGACCAATTCACAGTTCCAACAGTATATTGGTATGCCTGTCGGCCTATAGCCTCCCTGTACTCCAACAAATTTTTGCCAATCTGATGGTTATGAAATGGAATGTCAGAGTTTTAATTTTCATTCCTCTTCCTTAGGAGATAAATAATCGAAGGACATGAACAGGCCATTTTTCAAAAGAAGAAATGAACATTATGAACAACCTTATGAAAAAATGCTCCAAATCACTGTAAGAGAATTGCCAGTTGAAACAACTCTGAAGCCCATATCCACCAGATTGACACAGATAAGGAAAAAAGGGAAATAGTAATTGTTGCTGAAAATCCAAGAAAGAGCTAGCATTGGCTATGTCCCTACAAAAAGCCTTCCTCCAATTAAAGAAATCAGAAGCCAATTCTACTCAGCCTATACAGTTCCTCTTGGTTCAGTCACCAATCTCTTTAGCAAACATCCCTCCCTCTACAACCTTTCAGCATCTCTCTCCACAGAATCCAAAGTACCAAAGAGGAGCCTAGCACATGCCCTCTAGTAAAGAGACTCTGTGTGTGTGTATGTATATATAAATGTGTGTATAAAATATTATATAGAATAACTATAAGATAAATACATGATGTCATATATTTATCATATTCTATATAATATTATACATATGTGTATAATATATTCTCCCTCATGGAATCAAAACACATATGCCCAGAACCATAGGAAGTACTCTATCCCACTTCCTCTAAACTTTGTATATATTTTGTCCATTATTGTGTATATATTGTCAAAATAAAGCTACTTGAGGGCAAAGACTGTTTTGGGTTTTGTCTACACACAATGCCTTGTACATAGGGAATACTTTAATAAGTGTTTTTTTAACTGAATTTTAGGTGATCCTCATTTCTAAGCACAGTAGGAGTCATCTATTTCTTTCAGCTCCCTAGTAGAGAAGCAACATACTTTCATACAACTCTGTGTTGGGAGAAGTGGCTTGGAATAATTGGGTTTGAGACAGGTTTCTGAGACCAGAAAATGTGTAAGCTTTATTAGCTTCAGTTTCCTCATCTGTAAAATGGGGTTACTCTTACTTGGGCTACCTACCTCACAAAGTTTTGGTAGGGGAAAAAAGGATTTATATAATTAAAAGTGCTTTTAGATATACTTACATTTATGTGAGCTCTTCTAATTTAAGCAAACCTTTTGATTTAAGGTCAAGTTCCATTAACTTTGCGGTAGGATTAAAAAACACGTTACAAACTTGAAAGTGCTTCAGATCAATATATATACATACATACATATCAACCTTAACTTACTAATTTTTTTCCATAAAATTTCTGGGCCCACTCTGCTGGGCTTGGGCTTCTCCAGGCTTTTTTAAATCGATCATCCTTTTCTCAGCTAGCTAGCTGTCCCTGAAGCCCCGTTCATCCAAAAAGATGTTTGTAAAGAGCTTACTTAGCACAGTGCATGGCACATAGTAGTGCTTAACACTTGTTTCCTTCTTTTCCCCTAACTCTTCCCCTTCCCGTGGAAGGCATGTCCTGGGTCAGCTCATGCCCCCTTTGTCTGAACCTGCCGTGAGTTAGTTATCTCCTCTGAATGCTGTCACACCACATCGCCTTGGAGGCAGCATGAAGCGAAGTGCTCACTGGAGAGAGCGAGCCTTGCTTTATTTAGTTCTTTTTCGGGGGAAACTAGCTGCAGCTGTTTCAGACCAGATTGTGGAGAGCAAAGGAAGTTCAGAGGAAAAGGAATTGCCTGCCCGGGACGTTACTGCAGTTTCCAGAAAGTGACGGGATTCCGACTAAACCAGTTCTGTCTCGGGCCAGTGTAGGGGGCTTGTGCTGGCCGAGCCATGGTCCACTGGCTGGGGAGGGCCGCACCTTGCCTCTGTCCGCTGAGAGGCGGCCCCGGGCGCCGTGCCCACGGGAGGAGGGCTGTGTGGGGGGCGGGCCAGCCAGAGGGGCTGCCCTCCCCTGCTGTGACGTTCCCGGCAGGGGCTCTGCTCCTTCCAAGGCGCCCTCGCAGTGGTCGGCTGTGGGTCCCGGGAGATGATGCCGTTGCTTCTGCAGCCCTACTGCACTCCGCACAGCTGTTAAGGGCGCCCGGGATCCTGGAGCCATGCAGCCTAGGTCTATGCAGCCTGGAGCAGCGCTCACCGCGCTCCTCACCGCAGTCTTGGCTTGGCCGCGGGAAGGAGGGAGCCGTCTCCTAAGTGGTGAGATCCCCGCTTCTCCTCGTCCCTGGGGTGCATAGCGGCCTGTCCCCGCTAATCCCCGCCCTAGCCAAGCAGCCCTTGCTGCCTGGAGTCCGGGAAGACCCCTTTGCTAGGATGGGGCGGGTAGAGGGTCCAAACTCTCTTTATTCCGCAAGATTCCCTTTACACATATCTGGAGGGTGTATAAACCAGGTAGGGCAGAAAGCGAACCTGTGCCCCATGGGCCCCTTTCAGCCCGCGACTTAAGACGCCAGGGCCAATTCTGACCTTACTCGCGGTAGGCTCCTCAAACCTACTCAAGCAACCCCCTGAAAGGCAGGGTGCCGCCCTTAGCATCTCTTAGTTCCATTGCCTGTGTTCCCGGGATTTGTCCTAACTCTTGGGAGATGTACAAAGTGGAGTGGGGTGGGATGAGCAGATTCCTGCCACTGAAATACTTATGTTTAGATATCGGAAAAGAGCTTTAGTTATTGGGAACCAACCCCGCCTGACTCCCGGGGATGACTCGCTCTCTTTGCTTCCTTCCTTCTGTCGCTTCATTCCAGTTTCGGACTTGGACCTCAGAGGAGGTACAGCGCTCTGGCTTCTTGCCTTTTCCAATATAATTTTGCATGCCTGCGGAATGGGGGAAGGGGGGAGGAGGAGGAGGAACATTATTCATTCTTTGCAGATCTCTTTCATGGAAGCTGATTCCTCTATAAGGCTGTCAGACTAACAAAGAGAACCAGAAGATAGATAGATAGATAGATAGATAGATAGATAGATAGATAGATAGATAGATAGATAGATAGATAGATAGATAGATAGATAGATAGATAGATAGATAGATAGATAGATAGATAGATAGATAGGTAGATAGATAGACAGATAGATGGATGGATAGATAGATAGATAATCAACTCCTTTTCAGTTATCCCTAGCCAAATAGACCATTACTCAACTACCCAAATTCAAAACATGTCATAAGTAATCCCAAATTGTTTATGTTTTGAGTTGGGTAATAAGATTTGAAATAGGGAAAGGCTTACCTTTCTATATGTGCTTGGATCTGTATTGCATAGCCTTCCTATTTTCATATCTTCAGGGAGGACAATAACTAGATGGTTTAGATGTAGAGGTCAACATTAGGCTGACTTCTTAGGAGAGAGAGGAAACTAAAGTCAGGAAGCTGGCCCAGATGAGCAAGGTCTGGCCCAGCTCTGATTCGGATGAATAGTTTTCATTCCTTGAACCCACACCAGCTGGCAGCCAAGATGTGTGTCCCAAGAAAACTGGGGAAATAAAACTGAATTGGGAATTTAGAACTTCCATAAAGAGTTCACCAACAGGCAATTGAAAGCTGACTACAAACAGCTCCTGTGTCAGATTGTTAAATTTCTGGATTATGGGGGCCTGTTTCTGACAATTCTTTCCCCCTTCCACCTGTCTGCTTTTAGGAAATGCCACAGTCCAAACTCCCATCCCATGTACAAACCTCCTCCATAACAACTGGAAGATATTATTATCCCAGCCTCTGGCTGAATACATCCAGGGGTGGCTAGCTCATTACTTGGCAAAGAATCTCATGCCTTGACACAGCATGCTGTGTTGAAAAGACCACTGGACTGGAAGTCAAAAGAACTGAATTCTAGTCTCACCTCTGCCTTGCAAGTCCTTTACATTTCTGAGCATGACTCTTCATCTGTAAAAACATGTGTTGTGCTGATAACCTCTAAATTCCCTCCTAGCTCTAACAATCTGATGTATTGTTGGACCTAATGCAGTGTTACCAAGATCTCTATTGAGTAGTAGTTTCTAAAGAGAGTTAGGAAAAGGCAGAACCGAAAGGGACTGGGACTTGGGGGGTGAGGGGGTGAGGTCAGGGGAGAGCACTGCACTCAGAAACAGAAGACCCACTTTAAAACTTGGTTCTATTATTTGTCACATATGGAATCTTGATCAATCATCTTCATTTCTCTGAGCCTCAGTTTCCTCTCCAGTAAAATGAAGGAGTTGGACTAGATTAGGAGTATCTTAACCTTTTAGATCACGTAACTCCTTTGGCATTCTGGTTAAAACCTATAGAACCCTTCTCAGAATAATGTTTTGTTGTCTATATTCATAATAGACAGCTACTGGCACAATGGATAGTGGGCCAGACCCCAGGTCCAGGTCAAGAAGACCTGAATTCAAATCCTGCATCAGGTACTTTTTAGCTGTGTGAACTTTCTATGCAAGTTGCTTAACATCCTCTGCCTCAGTTTCCTTAACTGTAAAATGAAGATAATAATAACACTAACCTCCCAGAAATGTTGTGAGAATCAAATAAGATAATATTTGTAAAGTGTTTGCATACTTTAAAGTGTTATATAAATGCTAGTTATTACAACAGAATGAAATATTAAAACTTAAAGGTTAATGAAATTAAAGATGTAATTTTTCTCCAACTTCATAAACTCCCTGAACTCTGTTCATGGATCCAGGCTAAGAATCCCTAGACTAGATGGTCTCTGTGGTACTTTCCAACTCTTGGTCTGATGTGAAACTCAAATCAGCTCCTTGTTTACAATGTTTGGTGAGATACTGGAGGAGAAGGGACAATTAAAGAAGAAATTATGAGGTTGCTGAATTACCTGTGGATTTCATTTTTCATTCCTATGAAAATTTATCTGTCTTTAGTACAGATGAAGGATTTGGCTGCATGTAAGCACCTTGTCCTGGTTTTCTGGTAAGGTGGGTTAGTATGATTGAGGCAGTGCTGTCCCACTCTGAAGCAGGAGAGGGAAGCCATATCAGTAAACTATAAATTTCCTAGAGATGGAAAGAACTAGGCTATGGAACCAAATTTCTTTCCTTCTCTCAGTGGCTACAATTTATATTCATACCTCAAGCCTTAGCTCTTATAGTATAGGGCCTTGATCTCTTCAAAAGACTTTTTTTTTCTTCTTTGCATGCTCTTGGAGTGAAAAATCAGATATTTCTGTGCTCTATGACGTGGCAGCATTTCATATATAATGATGTTTCAATGAAGCAACATGAGATGACTGCTGGAAAGAGTGCTGGATTTGGAGTCAAATGACCTGAGTTCTAAAGCCTCAGTTTCCTCATCTTTAAAATGAGAGGGTTGGGCTAGGTAGCCTCTAAGGTCTTTTTCAATTCTAAATCAATGATCATATTGTTCTTTGATGAAGATTTGTACAGAAGCAATACATTAGTGAAAGGTGAAGCATAGTCCTCAGAGGTGCTTTCTCTGTCACTTAATGTTTTAATTTGTATCACTCTTTTGTTTTTAACATTACCTTAATTGCCAAATATATCCCTTCTCACTCCCATACCCATCAAGTCATCCTTTGTAACAAAGAAGAAAGAAGAAAGGGGGAGTAGTGGAAGCAGTTCAGGAAACTAACACACTTTAACCAAGTCTGACAGTATATGCAATGTTCCAAACCCATAGTCCCCCCTCTCTGCAAAGAGTACATTTTCTCATCTCTTCTTCAGAGACAAGCTTGGTCGTAAAATCATAGGATCAGTGATTTAGACCTGGAAGAGGCCGCTGAGATATTGAATCCAATCTTTTCATTTTACAGATGAGGAAACTGAGAC